GCTATATTTTGCCAAAAAGGAAGAAAGTGAAGCAAGTTGCAAACAGTTCTTAATAGCAAAATGCTTAAAATTGTCGCTTCCAGCGGAAGGATTCAAGGAGTTGAAGTTATCAGTTGCGTTGATGCGCGACTTCACTTCTTCACTTCACTTCCATTCAAGAACACGAAGGCATTGAGATGCCTACCAGAGTTATGCGGTTGATACTGAAGACACTTATCGTAAAAGTTTAGGTCAGCATCATTCCAGCATAAGTGTTCGGTCAACATGACGTGATTTGATGAATGGACCTTTGCCACCTGCCAGATGACAAATGTCGCTATTATTTTGCGCACGCCGTCAGCGATATAATCGGGAAGTATCCTGTAATGATAAGGGAAACTACATCATGGAGCAGTATGTGCTTCACGATTCCGGAATGAGCTGTGGAGCATATTACTCATTTTTCGTGGTTTGAATGCCATATGTTATTAACATCAAGACAAATCGTTGTTGTGCTTCTCCCTACATTGGTGGGGGTCGTATTTGGGCTGAGGGAATTCTTTTATTATAATAGTTGATTTTTCTTGTTCCATTGACGTTGTAAAGGAGGGGAAGGGGTGGGGTGTATTGCCTTTGTGTCCTTTGTGACTATCCGAGAGAGAGGTTGCTGACTTTCGTGACTTTCCTATTTCAGGTGTACTATGTACCCTGAAAAACAACCCCCGCTCGACAGCGAAATCCTGGGAAAAAGAGGAAAACTTTTGCGAAATTCCGAAATTCTGGAGCAAGTGATGGGAAGTCGGGGAAGCTTGAGGGAACCAGCGGGAGGTCGTACCAGCCCACGGAAAAAAAAAAAGGGGGGGGGGGGGAGTAGCACGGACTCAAACAAAGACTCCCCAACCAACAATGTGTCTGATCAGCATGGCGGATTTCCAGGACCCTGACTACCTCCGAGTGTGATCCCCGAGGCTTCTAGGAAAAAAGGGACGGAGGCGACAGCGCCAAATGCTAAAAACTGATGCCGACCGCCAGGGCTTCTCGTCGTAACCCAATAACCACTGAATTACACAGCGTCACGGAATTTCTCAGGCGAGCTCAAAAGGGTTTGTATTTGAGTAGTACGCCTTGCGTGGACATAAGCAAGATATCTTGATGGTCACAAGATAGCATTGCATTGGAACTTTAGCCACAGTCAGTTGTCACAAAGATGCAGCAATCCATTTTCATTACACTTTGATCAGCGGTAGTGATGTAGGCAAAGGTGGTCGCTAGATTCTAGCCATCTCCTGATAATGCTCCCTATAAAAGCAAGCTCTATCACGATACGTCCAGAACTCTATCGAACCCGGAAACCCACTCTGGACTAACATATTATCAATCTCTGGCATCCCTCTATTGAATTCAAGGAATAATGAGACGGCGGCGGGAGGCAGAAGCAAGCGAAATCATTCTTACACGAAAAGATCGAATCGTGGAACGCTAAAGGGGTTCCAATGCGGCGATAAACCCCGCTAACCTGCTACATCTGACCTCAGCAGTGTTAAACAGTTCTAGGGCTTGACAGCCAATTAATGAACCTTAAAATCCGCGATGTTTCGAAAAGACATGAAAATAATTGGCTCAATTAAAATTAATTTGAGTCCGAACACCAAAATTTCTTCCTTTACATTTTTGAATTTGACTTCCCAACGACAGTAGAGGAAATTGAAAAGCGTTTCGATTCGCATCTCTCACACCATACATCAGCACCAGCCACTTCATCCTTTACTTTTTCAATTGAAATTCTACGATTATTATTATTATTGTTTATCATTATTTGCTATTGTCGTTATGTGTTATTATGTGCTGTTATCACTACTTATTGTTACTATTGGTATTATTGGTTCTATTTGTTATTGATAGCTTGTTTAACTGACCACACATTGCCTTTGCTATAATACTGATTAAGTGCTCTTTTTCTTCTTGTATTTGGTTGAGTCCAGTCTTTTCTTTGCCTTCACTGAGCATATTTTTTAACAATTTACCGAGCGTGATCTTGCTCGCCACTAATAATAGTTCTACGTGACCTTCCCGTTTTTTCGCAGATGACCTTTCCGTTTTCCATTTGCCGTGCTCTCTGGTCCATTTTACAGTCATTATCTCTGCAAGCAGCTGGACTTGTGACGAGGCGTGGATTGGAACGCAATCAGGTAGCCTTTCCCCTAATGATTCGGTCCTGGAATTCACGGAGAAGGCCCATTGCGCTCCAGTCCAAGCCCCCTTACACACACAATCGCTGACAGGGATCATGATTGTAAGTGCAAATCCCTGGTAATAAGGATTTTACGAAACGTCTCGCTATCCGTGAGAAGCCTTCATCGGATTCTGAACATTTCAGGATGAAGCGAATCTTGGGCATTGACTTTTCTCCGCTAGCCGATCCATGGGAACAGAAAGCTATACACGCTTGGTGCAGTCATACACTTCATGGTCACCATTCCCCTGACTATATTCTGTACAATATTGCCATTCATCCTGGTAAATTCTTCAGTTAATCATAGTACTTGCGGGAGGGGTTTTCCGCTATCCTTTTTATTTCAACTCATTTTGATCTCCGGTGCCCTGTCCAATCTTCAACTCAGTTTTTTTAAGAGTACCGCGTGTGAATAGCGTAATTTTACAGATCTTCACATGGCAATGGCACATTCTAATTCTATACTCGTTATGGTACTTGTATGACCGAAAATCGCCACAGAATGGCGGCTATCGTAATAACTTTCCGCAGAGGTCGTCGTTTTATACGTTTTAGAAAGCTTTCGGGCCTCTAGATGCAGCGCTGTTTGCTGGCTGAGGCGATGCGGGAGCTGAGTTTGGCGCAGCGCCAGCTTGTGATAGAATAGGTTGGCGCCGCGCCAAACCTAATGCCTTTGAAACGCACCAGAGTCCGCAGCGAACAAGACCGCATTTGCTGTTTCAGATGGAGATTTTACAAATGGTTTGCCAAATACTTCCCAGCCACTCTTCACAAAACCGCTGAGCTGCCACCCGATCAGGTACGGTCGTCTTCTGTCCTACCTCCTTGTCAAGCAGCTTTTACCCACTCCGCAATCGATTTATTGACTGCTGCAGAATTACATTGTTGGCTATCATCCACATGGTATTTTATGCATGGCTATTACGGCAAATTTCTCCTCAGAAGGCACTGATAAAAGCAAAGTGGTAAGCAATTTTCAATGAAAGCCTTGCTTGAAATTTTCCCAATTAAAAAGATATCGTCCACGCTGGTCGAATGGGTGGGGTAAGTCAACCGTTTCCGCTCTCTTCATTGGCGCCACTCCTTACAAGGTGAGAGGACCAATGACAAGGGCGTGACAGTGGGAGGCCCAAACCCGCCCTCGTGATCATTGCGGACTGCACTTTACAGAAAAATTACCTTTTGCAAAACAGACTGATTCAGTTCCCGGGAATTCGATTTTCATGCTGCACGCTGGCGTCGAATTTCAGGACTATGATAACGTAAATATCTATTGGATGTTTACTATTACTGTCACTTTACTTGTGCACTTCTCAATGTTTTCAGGAGAGAACTACTGCTTTTAGCTGGGTGCATTGACTGCTCCAAAGAGAGTATCGGAAATGCGCTGACACAACAAAAAGGTGGACGAGCCGTAGTGATTGCCATAGGTAACTCGTAGCTATTTTACTATTACTTGATCATAATTTAGATCGATAAAATAGCTCGGTAAAGGTAGTGGTAACCGATGTACCAAACTTCGGGGGGGGGGGCAAGAAGAAGCGTCTACCGGTCCGTACCCGTTCCTCAAAACTCAGCCCTAGCAGAGCACACACAGAAAGGTCTCACAGAGCATAAGTAGCCGCACTTCTGTGTATCCCCTCCCTCCGACTTAAGTCAGTACCCACAAAGTCTCTAATAGTGTGCTAGCGGTCTATCAACCCCGGCAAGTGAACAGAACATGATCCCAGGGTTGTGGGAGAGTGCTGTAGCAGGACCAAACCTGGCTCGTATCCTGTTCGTCTGCGTTCCGCCAGCGAAGAAAGCGTTCAGTGACTTTTTTGGCACGCTGAGAGCACAAACAAGTAGGAAATGGGCGTAGACTAGAATTGCCCATAGCTCCCGAACTATTGCAGTAACGAGAATATTAGTTAAGAAAAGCTGAATTATTTAGAATATACACAGATATGGAAATGTTTTCTATATTTAG